TGTGTGTGTGTGTGTGTGTGTGTGTGTGTGTGTGTGTATGCATGTGAATATGTGCAAAAATATATGTGTGATCATGCATTCGGAGTCCAGAAGTCAATTTTTTGAGACAAAGTCTCCTACTGAACCTGGAGCTTTAAGGTTTAGTTAGCTGGATGGCCAGCAAGATTCAGGGATGCACCTGGCTCTCCCTCCCTAGGTATGTGTGAGCACAGAGGCATCTGGAATCTATATGGATGTTGAGGGTCCAAACTCAGGTCCCTATCTCATACAGCAAGCACTCTCCTCTCTGAGCCATTTCTCCTGACCCAAAGTTAACATTTCATATACTTTAGATCTTGTATGGAATACAGAAGTTTAAATGTCACCTTAAAATTAAATATGAAGTTCAAGACCACTAAAAGGAGTGTGCATTTGACAAATAAATTAGGAATATGTATCACTGAATAAGCATTTTCCTGAAATATTCTGACAACGCGATGCATGGTGTGGCAATACACTTAGGATTGTTAACACAGCGTACTCTACTCCACGCAGACTTATAAAAATATGTATTTTACATAAATTATGCTTTTCAGAGTAAATTAATATTTATCACATCTCATGATCTTGGCATAATGTTGTTTTGAAAGAATAGAATTAGATGTGTGCAAATTAATTGTGCTCATCATAAATGTCAACTGAAGTTTTTTTTGAGTATTCATATGCAGAAAAACAAATCTGTTCCCCATAGTTTCTGGGATGTATTATGGAAAGACACAAAGTCTACCTGGCCTCTTTGCTATGTGCACAGTTCAAGACAGCCAGTTCCGCAGTAATAAAGAAATTTTATTCTTCTGTTCATTTTCTAATAAAAACATGATTATTGACAAAAAAAGTCCTTGAGTTGGCAGCATCTGTAGGACAATTTCTTCCACCTTTTATAGCTGAAGGCAATAAGCCCATTGTCATGGCACAGAATGTATTCAAGTGTTACAGACTGTGTCCCTTTGAGAGTTACACCCAGGTCAGGTCACAAACATAGAGGAGACCATGAGGTCAGTAATGTGTGGAACAAATTCTCCCTGATCCTAAGGGATCCATTACATTTTATTTTATAGACTTTCTGTAGAACTTCACCAGCAATTTAAATGAGTTGGTATTACCACCCCAAGTGTATTCTCATTCCCATGTGTCACTATCCTCAGAGTACTGTCCGTTTGCATTGTGCCAAGGTATATTCAAGTAAGGTACACACATCCAGGAAGAAGGAATAGGAGTTGTGTATACACAGAAGTTCTTAGGAAATCTCACATCTAACCTCGGAGTAACTTGGGACTAAGATTCTCATAGTTTTAAGTATCCTAGACATGGCAAGGATGGAAGGCATAGCTCGTTTCTCTTTCACCATTTGTGAAGTAGCTAGTGCCATTTTGATCAGCTTGGTCTTTTCCAGTTAGCAGGGAGGAGCTAAGTGACCAGTGGCAATAGTATAGGCTCCAGGGTTATATAACCATCTGTCTTTTAACTAAATATGATGGATAATTTAAAGAACACATAGTCATTATGTATCATGAAGCTGAAATGCCCCGGCCATGTATCCCTTATACCTGAAACAAGCTTTCTTTTACCTTAAATCAATTAGTATGTCTCACTGTATAACATTCCATGTTCCAATGGGTCACTTATTCTTAAATGGAACCCTTGTTCTCACTTATACATTAATAAATGGTTAAAAATTTTAAGATGGATAGACCCATGGGGAATCTCTTTCCTCTTGGCTAAATGAAAGCTCTCCAAAACATAGCCCAAGCTATGAGACATGCTTAAACATACACATGTTTGGCTGATGGCAGAGATACTGAAGACCAACAATCTTGGAAGACCAAGAAAACATTTGATTTGTGAGGCCAAGGAATTAAATTTTAACCCATTCGAGGTCAAAGGGCTTTAATGTAAAAGAAAAACCATTTTAGGTAACTTTTAATTAATTAAGGAATTCAATTCCTCAGAGAGGAAACACCTCTATCCCCATCCACACTTGTCTATGATTCCATTTCTTTTGCCCTGTACATATAACACTAAAGGGCTCAAGGATTTCCCAGCAGGCAAAGAAACACCTTACCTTGCATGAAGAAGGAGCTAGGGAAAGTGCTGGCCGCTGGTTTGGAGGAAGGGTAGCCTGGCGAGTCCCTATTGTAGTCGGCAGTACTTGCTGAAGGAGCATAGACCTGGGGAAGGAGATCCACATGAGTTTTGCTTTCTACATTGATCAAAGAGTCTCTACATTCACGATTTGGTAAGAGGCTGGCATGAAACATAAAAGTTCGAGGCTGTAAGAGTCTAAGCCTGATCCAATGCTAGAAACACTGACTCCTTTGAATGCAGGGGGAAAAAAGTTCTGTGTATTTGTGTTAACATAAAATAATCAGGTATGCGATTTTCCAGTCCAGGCGAGAACACTGCAAACCATGTCTAGTAGTAAATACACTCAGCAGGCCACAGAGTAGCCCCCTGTCTACAGATTCCTTTCATTTTCAAACACAGATGGCCCATGAACATGTTAAGAGAAAAAGAGAAAAGTTCTGTACACAGTCTCTCCCAAAAGACAGACCAAACCTACCTTTCAATTAAAATTTTCACTTGCAATGCAGGAGGGAGGGAGGAGGCAGGCAGGAGGAAGAAAGGAGGGATGAAGAAGGGGGAAGCAGATGTACACAGGAAGAGGGGCTGTCTTTTTTTAAAGTGCTTATTATATTTGTGTGTACAATAAACTTTAAAAGTGTGCCAAAACCCTAATTTACTTAACATTCATTTACTAAGCCTCATGAGACTCGGGGAACCAGTTCCTTTTCAAAATAGCCCTCATGTTTTCTTGTTTATGTTTCCTTGAAGCAGGACAGCATCACAGCAAAGCATAAATTCATAAGGTATAGTTTAACTTTAATTGGTTCTCTCCCTTGCCTTTTCTGCTAAGTATACTTTTTTTTTTTCCTTTTTTAATTCCCATTTTCGTTTGCTCTAAAAGTTCCTCTCCAGATGGTTGGAAAGACTGAACGGCTCATCCTCTTGATGAAAATGGATACCTTCCTGCCTCCATTTTGAAGCAGGCAGCGGCTCACAAACTTGGCAGTGAGCCTACACTGATATTCACAGGTCACAGTGAGAGGAGAAGAAATTCACCAACAAAAAGGCTGCGGCGGGATTACAAAAATAAAAAAAACTCCATTTTGCCACGTACAATAAACAAACACCCTAAAAATTATATAATTCTCTCGGCACATCCTTGACTCAGAAAGTGTAAGCGTTAATACCAGGTTTAGGATTTCACAAAGGGTAGGTCCACAGAGACAGATGTGGGAAACGTGCATCTGCATCCATACATCAAATAAATGCTCCACACGCCCTTGAAAATCTGGAGGTCCTGGATGTTAAACAAAACAAACCACACCAGAAAGAGTCACTAACGCTGTGGACAGCAAGCATGCTTCCCCCTAAGTCCCAGAGTGATTTAAATACCGCTTTTCATAGTTTCTCATTTTGTAATTTTCTCTACTTCTTAAATGTATGGATGGTAATTTATTCCTGTTTCTACAGGGTTCATAATCAGGGGCTGAAGGTAGCCCCAAATCATTCCTGGAGTGCCTTTAAGGAACAAAAAGTACCCTTTAGGGCAGGGGGCCAGCCTGAGGCTTTCCTAGGAACAGAGTGAACAAATAGGTAGGGTGCTACTGCATGACTCAGAAAGGTCTCAGGAGGAGGCTAAAAGGATGCAAAAAAGGTGTTTTCAAGAAAAAGGGTAAAGTGACCACTCAATGACCTCATTCAAATGACAGAATGGGCACCAATGGCAGTAGTATATTCACATGCCTGATACGTAGCTGGCCCTTGAGTCTTAATGTAAGCTGACTGTACTCAGTTTATCTTCCACATTTCAGAAATCAATACATATTTACTGGGAAAAAAAGGCATCTTCACACTGTTCTATTTCATGTGTGTTAAAAACAACAGGAATCAACTCTTTGAGGATGAATTTATAGTTTAATTTTGGTAACTACCACTACTATGCTTAAACATGAACAGTAGAATGCCAATACTATTTGATCATATTAACATGGTTCATCTCTCTCTCTCCCTCTCTCTGTCTTTCTCTTTCAATTTTGGTGAAAACATTTAAGACCTTTTGGGTAAGATAAGATTTTTTTCATTAATTTTAGTTATATATGAGAAAGCTATTTTGATTCTGAATTATGAATAAATTAAAGTAGCTAAGGGTAAGATTGTTTAGGTAAATTCATGAATACTGCCTGCTTGTGAAAGAATATCTACAAGATGAAAACATTTTAGCATATACTACAATATCTAATTTCTGATTTCCTGATGCTGTAGCCAATTGGAGATTTTGTTTTTGGTTTGTTTGTTGTTTGTTTTGGATTTTTGAGATAGTATTTCTCTATTACGTAGCACTAGCTGTCCTGGGATTCAGTATGTAGATTACGCTGGCCTTGAACTCATAGATATCTACCTGCCTCTGCCTCCTAAGTGCTGAGATTCAAGGCACTGACAGAGCACTTTTTTTTTTTCTTTTTCCCGAGACAGGGTTTCTCCATGTAGCTTTGGAGCCTATCCTGGCATTCGCTCTGGAGACCAGGATGGCCTCAAACTCACAGAGATCTGCCTGCCTCTGCCTCCCGAGTGCTGAGATTAAAGGTTTGCACCACCAACACCCAGCCCAAAGCACATTTTTAATGTTTTTTTTTTTTTAAGGTAATTTTGGTGTATCTTCTAAAACACAAAGTTGTTTATAAGGCAACTTAGACCCTACTCATTTTCCCTTTGGATTCCATATTTTCTTGTCTCCAATGTCATTTTAAGGCAAACAGTTTTTAATTTTTGTATGTTTTCAAAAGTTGAAGAGACCAATGGATTTATCTGCTTCCACTTGCCACATTTTATTTATTTACCTATAGCTGACTGATGGAGATGAAATCTAATGCATGGTGCATCCTAGGGAAGCATTCTATCACTCAGCAACATGCCAGCCCCCCTCCCCACCCCCCCGTGAGGTAAAACATGAGTTTTAACCATCAGAAAATTTAAAGTGGAAGTTCAAGGAGCTGTCTCAATATGTGGAACTTGTTAGAGCTACACAATTAGTTTTTATTCTTTATTTTTCATCATTTGATAGACACTGTCACTTAAAATGGTAGTGAAGGTCTGAGAGGATATCTACATGAATAGCAATAATAATGTTCACACTATGTTTAATGTTTCAAATTCAAATGACAATGACAGCCAGTGGGCTGCTGTACTCTTTCTACTTTACTCAATTATTTTGTCAGTTTCTCAGTTCCAAGCGGTCTATGTGGAATTTTCCATAAGTAGTTTCATGACGATATTAATTTCAATAAGGCCTCATATATTTGCCTTCTTATTATTTTTCTAGTTCTGTAGAAAGATTACTTACCTAACTGGAATTGTTTTTAACAAGAAAAGAACAAGAAAAAAAAACAGGCCAATTTCAAAGGAAAACTCCAACATCACTGCAATATATTTATGGGACCCCAATAAGAAGGCAAGGAAAATATCATGAGAAACATACTTGCCCAGAAAGACAACTTAGATCAAGACAGATACTGGATTCTACCCCCCACCCCAGAAGGAAGTATGAAATATTGCCAAATTGGAACTGGGGAATATTGGCTGGAGCTGACAGGCTATATCACTCTTCCACTGAAATCATTTGTTGAATAAAAGCCTCATAGAAAATTAGTAGTATAATATACTTCACATCAAAGGTTAATGTCACCATCTTCTCTCAATTTAAAGTAAAGTCGTAGAAGCCACAAGCTTAACAAAGATCTGTAGATAACACTAAACCACAGATTGATGGAAATATAAAAATGGTTTCATTCTACAGATAGAATTTCTATTGTAGCCAGGTGGTGTCGGAGGCACATGTGGTTAATCCCAGCACTCACGAGGCAGAGGCAGGTGGATCTCTGAGTTCAAGACCATCCTGCCTGGTCTACAGAGTGAGTTCCAGGACAGTCAGGGCTACACAGAGGAACCCTGTCTCTAAAAACCAAAAACCAACCAAACAAACAAACAACAAAACCAATAACAACAAAAAGGAATTTCTATCATAATTTGAGAATTACAAGAAGGCACGTTAGCTGGGCTCAATGATCCTTATTAGCCAGCAAGAAAATGATAAAAGTTTTTCTGTTCAATGTATGTATGTATGTATGTATGTATGTATGTATGTATGTATGTATGTATATCAAACAGGAGCACCCACCCACAAACCAAGGGGAGGAGGTGTGTTTCCTACCCTTCCCTCTCCTGGCCTATGGTTTCATTTAGGGAGATTTAAACATAACAAAGGTTATATTGTTCAGGACCTCTTGTGGAAGAGTTTTGTGGTAGAAGTTCACAATATAATTCTAACTTTCATAATGATGAGAAAAGGTGGCACTGTCAACAGTACTCTTCACTTCACAAAGCTGAAAAAATGCTAAAGAGGTGAAATATACTAACCCAGATGAGCCTGAGTCTGACTGTGAGTTCTATCACTTTTAACCTCTCTCATCTCCAGGTTCCTCTCTGTAAAATGGGAGCAACAAGACCTACTATGCAAACTTATGAGAAGCAATTGGTAATTTGTGTGTAAAGTAACTAGAATGGATCCTGACACAAAGTGGACATGCAAAAAAAATAATAATCAAGCACTTGTGTTCAGGTTTTGTGGTCATTATTTTTATTAAGCATTCAAATGTGACTTAGAACAGTTTGCTTTTCCCAATGAAAAGTCGTCTAAGCCACAGTAATAAGGCAGAGAGTAGAAGTGCACATAAAAGTCTAGATTCTATTAAAACCAATTCTTCCTTCCCTTAAAAAAACTTTTAATGATTTATTTTTATTTTATGTGCATTGCTGTTTTGCCTGTGTGTGTGAGGGTGCCAGATCTCCTGGAACTGGAGTTACAGACAGTTATGAGCTACCATGTGAATGCTGGGAATTGAACCTTCGTCCTCTGGAAGAGCAGCCAATGCTCTTAACTGCTGAGCCATCTCTCCAGCACCCAATTCTTCCTTCTTAAAGATGAGACATTCTTTATTTTTACATCTCATTTATTTTTATATATTTTAAACTCTAATAGAATGATGTAATTTTTCCTTTTTCCCTTTCCTCCCTCCCACCCCTCCCATGCACCTACTCTCAAACTGAT